GATGGTCTCTTTTCAGTGGTGGGCACTGATAGGACTAGAGGAAATGGCCGAAAACTGTAACATCAAAAATTCCATAGGAACTTAAGGAGAAATTTCTTCCCAGTGAGGGTGACAGAGCACTGGAACAGGCTGCCCAGAGAGGTTGTGGAGTCTCCTTCTCTGGAGATCTTCAAAACCCGCTTGGATGCAGTCCTGTGCCACGTGCTTTAGGTGACCCTGCGTATGCAGGCGGGTTGGACTAGATGATCTCTAGAGGTCCCTTCCAACCCTAAGCATTCTATGATTCTATGATTCTATGTTTTATCATCTATTTAATCCAAAAATAATTATTCCAAATTCTCAAAAAATCTAGGGCAACCAGGCCTACCTCACTATAACCCTTACAACACTTGAAAAGCACAGAGAAAACAGAGGTTTTGCAGTGTAACCTGAAAGAGAACAGAATGAAACTTTGTTAAACCAAAACTGGGGCATGACTCAGCCACTGAAGATCCCTCCCCAGGAATATTGTGCCTCTCCTCATGCTAACTCTGTGACAGTGCTCGTCTAAGCAGTTTGCATGTTAACATCCAGAGCTGTTTTCCAGTTAAGTGGGTGGATCCACATTACTGATAAGCTGAGAGTGAAATCAGGAGGGATTCCTTCAAGTCAAACTGGTCAGCAAAAAATGAGATGTTGTAGACATTCATCCAATACATCTACACTGACTCTGGTAATTCTGCAACTGAAGATATCTCAGCAAGGTACCCCCTGTCTCCTTCTACCATTATGAGTAAGAAGGTATCTGAATGTTTCACCCAAATGCATTCAATACTGAAAAAGCCTATATGCATTCAGTGATAGCTAACTATAAAGTTTTGCTTCTTTTCTCATATCCCAGATCCCCAAATCAAATAAAGCGTATATTTTTACAGGCATCTCCCTTATCCGAACCATCACAATGCCAACAAACATAACTGACATTAAGCATTCCATCCAGTGCCTTTATTAGCTGCTCAAACCTTTCCTCTCTTCCTGTCCTAAGAAGTAATTAAATGAAGAGTTACATAAATATTTAAATACTTCTTCATAGCTTAGCAAGGGAAATGCAAGGTTAGGTCTGATTCCAGGCTCTCTTCTCAGTATTCTTCCAAATATAAATCATCCTGGGAACTATTTTATTCATTTTAAGTATTGCAAAGAACCACTTTTATTTACAACATGACTAAGATGGAGATTTAAAGAGTAAATAAATGTTAGATATGAAAAGTTTTAATTTTCCAGAATATTTTAAAACATTTCAGGCCAGTCAGCCTCACCTCCATTGCTTCATGGAGCAGCGCATCCTGGCTGTCGTCTACAAACACGTGAAGGATAAGAAGGTGCTCAGAAGTAGTCAGCATGGATTCACCAAGGGGAAATCATGCTTGACTAACCTGATAGCCTTCTATGATGGAAGGACCAGCTGGATAGATGAGGGGAGAGCGGTGGATGTCGTCTATCTCGACTTCACCAAGGCTTTTGACACCATCCCTCACAACATCCTCCTGGGCAAGCTCCAGAAGTGTGGGATAGATGAGTG